GTATGAGCATTTAAACACAAAAGTAATAAATTGAACAAAAGAAATATAATTTAACACAAGAAAATGTAATACAAAAAATATGATGCAATTCAACACAAAAAATTAATTCAATTCAATAAATGAAATACAGCAGAACATAAGAAAAGTACCAACACTCAAGGCTTCCACTAATGGAAGTTTGGGAGTTATTTACTCCTTGATTTTGGCTTGTGACTTCCAAAATATAATGCTTTTCCTTCTTTACCTATATAATGTGACTCCCAATGTCAGACATTTTGCAGTCTTTGACTTCCAAATTTTGGAACTTAATGGAATAATGGTCATATCTTTACTGATGGAGGAAGACCTCTTGTGCATTATTTCAGGCATGAAGGGACCAACATTCTGTAAGCTAGCTGGATAGCTCAATCCTCACATGAAAGAAACCTAAGTTCTTCGTGGGAATGGAACCCACAGTGGTTAGGGGCAATATTGCTTTGAATTCAAAAGCATTAAACACACAGCCCAGGATGCCTAATAGAATCCTATCATTCAGAGTAACCTGAGTGAGTTAATATAACAAAGCATTTGAACAGTAAACTGTGCATTATTGACATCACGAGTCATTTGTATGGTATATTTTATATGAGCCGCGCCATGACAAAACCAACATAGTGCGTTTGCGACCAGCATGGATCCAGACCAGCCTGTGCATCCGCGCAGTCTGATCAGAATCCATGCTGTTCGCTATCAGTTTTTAGCTCGATTATTAGCTCGACTATTCGCAGAATAATCGAGCTAATGCAGTCACCCATTTGTCGGCGTCGGCGTCGGCGTCCCTGTGGGTTTTAAGTTTTTGTATGTGCTGTATCTCCATAACTTACTGAAGGGAATGGATTGAAACTTCACACACTTGTTCTCTGTGATTATCTAAGATGATTGGGCACAAGTCCCATAACTCTGCATTTGCTTTTTTTCATAATTATGCCCTTTTTTTCGACTTAGAAATTCTTGGTTAAGTTTTTGTATGTAGCTGGTATCTCCATAACTACTGAAGGGGGGATTGAAACTTCACACACTTGTTTCTGTGATTATCTAAGATGATTGGCACAAGTCCATAACTCTGATTTGCTTTTTTTCATAATTATGCCCCTTTTTCGACTTAGAAATTCTTGGTTAAGTTTTTGTATGTAAGCTGTTATCTCCATAACTACTGAAGGGAATTGATTGAAACTTCACACACTTGTTCTCTGTGATTATCTAAGATGATTGGCACAAGTCCCATAACTCTGATTTGCTTTTTTACATAATTATGCCCCTTTTTCGACTTACAAATTCTTGGTTAAGTTTTTGCGTGTAAGCTGGTATCTCCATAACTACTGAAGGGAATGGATTGAAACTTCACACACTTGTTCTCTGTGATAATCTAAAGATAATTGGCACAAGTCCCATAAACTCTGATTTGCTTTTTTACATAATTATGCCCCTTTTTCGACTTACAAATTCTTGGTTAAGTTTTTGCATGTAAGCTGGTATCTCCATAACTACTGAAGGGAATGGATTGAAACTTCACACACTTGTTCTCTGTGATTATCTAAGATGATTGGGCACAAGTCCATAAACTCTGATTTGCTTTTTAACATAATTATGCCCCTTTTTCGACTTAGAAATTCTTGGTTAAGTTTTTTGCATGTAAGCTGGTATCTCCATAACTACTGAAGGGAATGGATTGAAACTTCACACACTTGTTCTCTGTGATTATCTAAGATGATTGGCACAAGTCCCATAACTCTGATTTGCTTTTTAACATAATTTTGCCCCTTTTTCGACTCATGAATTCTTGGTTAAGTTTTTGTATGTAAGCTTGTCTCTCCATAACTACTGAAGGGAATGTATTGAAACTTGAAGAGTTTGTACCTTTTCGGACAATTTTATGTATTCATATAGGTAAGCATTATTATACTCAATGAAACACCCTTGTGACAAATTTTCGAATAGTCGAGCGTTACTGTCCTCCGACAGTTCTTGTTCTGCGAAATGCAGTCACCCATTTGTCGGCGTCGGCGTCCCTGTGGTTAAGTTTTTGTATGTAAGCTGGTATCTCTATAACTACTGAAGGGAATGGATTGAAACTTCACACACTTGTTCTCTGTGATTATCTAAGATGATTGGCACAAGTCCCATAACTCTGATTTGCTTTTTTTCATAATTATGCCCCTTTTTCGGCTTAGAAATTCTTGGTTAAGTTTTTGTATGTAAGCTGGTATCTCCTTAACTACTGAAGGGAATGGATTGAAACTTCACACACTTGTTCTCTGTGATTATCTAAGATGATTGGCACAAGTCCCATAACTCTGATTTGCTTTTTTTCATAATTATGCCCCTTTTTCGACTTAGAAATTCTTGGTTAAGTTTTTGTATGTAACCTGGTATCTCCTTAACTACTGAAGGGAATGGATTGAAACTTCACACACTTGTTCTCTGTGATTATCTAAGATGATTGGCACAAGTCCCATAACTCTGATTTGCTTTTTTTCATAATTATGCCCCTTTTTCAACTTAGAAATTCTTGGTTAAGTTTTTGTATGTAAGCTGGTATCTCCTTAACTACTGAAGGAATGGATTGAAACTTCACACACTTGTTCTCTGTGATTATCTAAGAATGATTGGCACAAGTCCCATAACTCTGGTTTGCTTTTTTTCATAATTATGCCCTTTTTCGACTTAGAAATTCTTGGTTAAGTTTTTTGTATGTAAGCTGGTATCTCCATAACTACTGAAGGGAATTGATTGAAACTTCACACACTTGTTCTCTGTGATTATATAAGATGATTAGCACAAGTCCCATAACTCTGAATTTGCTTTTTTACATAATTGTGCCCCTTTTTTCGACTTAGAAATTCTTGTTAAGTTTTTGCGTGTAAGCTGGTATCTCCATAACTACTGAAGGGAATGGATTGAAACTTCACACACTTGTTCTCTGTGATTATCTAAGATAATTGGCACAAGTCCCATAACTCTGATTTGCTTTTTTACATAATTATGCCCCTTTTCCGACTTAGAAATTCTTGGTTAAGTTTTTGCATGTAAGCTGGTATCTCCATAACTACTGAAGGGAATTGAATGAAACTTCACACACTTGTTCTCTGTGATTATCTAAGATGATTGGCACAAGTCCCATAACTCTGATTTGCTTTTTAACATAATTATGCCCCTTTTTCCAGAGCTCTAGCTAGACCAAAATTTTAGGGAGAAGTGACTTCTCCCTCAGCTCCTATCAGGGAGAAGTTTGACGACATAAGGAGAAGTGAAAAAGTTCTTAGTACATTGATTTGATGGTGATATTTGAAGTATAAGTTCTAAAACCCTCTATCATCAGACCATTATAATGTTTTCTTCCTGATCAACTCCACACACCCCCCTCCCTTAAGAAAATATTCATTGTACAACACATACTGGCAAAATTCTCAATGAAAATTGATGTAAACGATACCTGAAGGAATTTTCATTAATAAACTACATTTTAAGTGCTATTGGACACATTTTCACAAAACAATTTTTCCTTTTGGTAACTATTATTTTCATCGTAAAAATCGGCATCGCGAAAATATGTGACAAATGAAAATTTGTCTATTTCCTGCAGAAACACTTACAATTCTAGTTGTTGCTGATTTTGATTATATTTTATTAAATATTCAATGATTATTTTTAGATTGTTATTCATCCGCTATTGCAACAGGCATTGTAAAACAAAAATTTTCAAATTTGTAGTTTACCGCATAATTTACCGACGTTTAGGCTATGACAAAGTTTATCTACTACTGTTTTTGACTTGTCAAAGATTGGTATAATGTGGGTCAATATTTTTCAAGTTCTTTAACAAAATTCATTTTTACTATCAAACAGGTAACAAACCATTTACTTGTGCTTCTGTGTGTATTAATTTATATGCAAGTAAATTTACACGATCTGTGCACAGGCGCTAGTCACATAATCAAATATTTTACATAATCGGTCTATATATGTATATAAAGATCTTTATATACATATATAGACCGATTATGTAAAATATTTGATTATGTGACTAGCGCCTGTGGATCTGTGTGAGGTTGCGTGTAATTACTGTCAAATATGGTAAAAACAATTCTGGGTGTAATCTTTTTACACTCGCTGATAAAATAGTTGCAGGTGTCGTAAAATTATGCCTAAAAAATGTGATGTTTACATCGCCGAATTTCCGATGCATCTGCATATCATGTCACTTAAATGTGTTAATTGATGTCAATTATCGGCAGTAACTGCATGTGCGTCACCAATTCAGTTTGATTTATGCCTAGAGGCGAGGATTAACTCAATTAACAATAACATGCACTGTATGATGTATATGTACATGTGGTCAGTAAAAAAATGCGGCGAAATCGTTTTCGCTTTGATGTTCAAACTCGGCGAAGTTCTGACACTTTAGGCGACTTAGTCGCCGAAATCGCCCAGTTGCTAGAGCCCTGTTTTTCGACTTAGAAATTCTTGGTTAAGTTTTTGCGTGTAAGCTGGTATCTCCATTACTACTAGAGGGAATGGATTGAAACTTCACACACTTGGTCTCTGTGATTATCTAAGATGATTGGTACAAGTCCCATTACTCTGATTTGCTTTTTTGCATAATTATGCCCCTTTTTCGACTCATGAATTCTTGGTTAAGTTTTTGCATGTAAGCTTGTATCTCCATAACTACTGAAGGGAATGTATTGAAACTTGAAGAGTTTGTACCTTTTCGGACAATTTTATGTATTCATATAGGTAAGCATTATTATACTCAATGAAACACCCTTGTGACAAATTTTCGAATAGTCGAGCGTTACTGTCCTCCGACAGTTCTTGTTTTACTTGTAATAGAGTTGGTAAGCGAACAGCATGGATCCTGATCAGACTGCGCGGATGCGCAGGCTGGTCTGGATCCATATTGGTCGCAAACACACTATGTTGGTTTTGTCATGACGCGGCTCATATGTTATTTTTATGATATTTATATTTGTTATATGTTTTATGTATTATATATTTTTAGGTTTTACCAGATCAGGACAGCATTGAGAACTCCACCAAAAGTGCCATCTAAAATTGAGATTACACTACAGAAGTCCCAAGGTAAGTTAAATAATCATCCAAATAAATAAATTTTATTTTACATTAGATTAGATTTTATTCTTTTACATTTGTATAATTATGATATGTGTCAGGCAAATTTCATAGTTTGCTTTATACTGTGGTTTCGCTTAATTTTCTGGGCATGAAATTTTGTGGTTTTGTCACATAGGACATTTTCATGGGTTCTTAAATTCTTGGACTGTCTAATCATTATCTAAAAGGTAAAATGTAAATAAGGTAATGCAAAATAATCTTAAAGCAGATGAAATGAAAATTGGTTGGATCTAAAATTTGTGGATTTGACCTATCCACGAGATCCACACTAATTAATGCCCCACAAATAATAATGATTTTGCAGTAGTTGATATGAAGCATACCTAGCTGAGTGGTTAAGGCTGTGGATTCAAACTACTTACCCTTCACTGCTGTAGGTTGGAATCCCTCCAGGGACATTGTATTCTTTCATATAAGGCAGCTATCCAGCTAGGTTACGGAACATAGGTGTTTCTTTCTTGTGCCTGAAACAATGCACGGTGGGGCATCTGAGGTATGTCTTCATCTGCCAGTGAAGCTTCAAAGTCATCAGATGACCTAATACAGTGTTGGTGCAACGTGAAACCCAACCGAGAATATAGTTGATAAGTAATAATATGTAGAGTAAGAAATAATTGATGACACATTTTTCTGTCTTCTTTCATAAGGGATTGGAGATGCTACTCAGATATTAAGTAGTGTCATCAAAGGAAGATTAAATAAGCTTTAAATGTGAAGAAAAGAAATAGCTATTATATTACTTGACACATTTCATATTCTAGACCAATGAAAATGCTTCAGAAATAATTGGAAGTCTACCTGACACTTTATTTCCCTTTGCTTGCTTTGAAAAAGTACACACACACACTGTTTGATATTTTAGTTGATTGATTTAGGCTTCTTAAGTCTTTTATTTATAATCACTACATAGTTTTATTTGTAGAGAGAAAGTCTGTCATTGGTTAGATTTAAAAACTAAGCAGAAAATCAACCAATCAGATGCTTAAAGCTGCTTTAAACACCACACCTCTATAAGATATCAGAAAATTGACACTTCTATAAAATAACAGAAAAATGATAGCTCTATAGAATAACAGAAAATTGGAGGGAATAGGTTGAAACTTCACTTGTACAAGGTCTATAACTGTGACATGGATTTTGACAGAGTTATTACCCCTTTTGAACTTAAAAAATTCTACATAATCCAGGCTCTTGTTTTACTTCTGGCAATAGTCGAACATGCTGTCGACAGATCTTGTTTTAAGAATGATGTTATTTTCATGTACAGCAACAACAAAGAGCCCAAAAACCATTTTACAATTATACTTAAATTACTTTTAATTGGTAAACAAGCAGTAAAGGCGAAGGAATGTTAATTGTTACACTGAATTTAAGCTTTAATTGATTTTAAGATCGTGAAGAAAACCGATGATTTTCTTTGAACACTGTGTTTTACAGATTACGCAGAAAAACAATTAAATCGGAAAAAGAAAGGTAATAGCATAGGAGTGAGTTTACTTTATGAGTTTGCATAATGTCTGCGATTATTTATAATTTATTCGCATGTTTTATATAATATTTCACAGTGTTTTTCCCCCCATCTCCTGGATTTGTATTTCACAACAATAAGTTAAAAATTTGTTCACAATTTAACGGCTGAAATTTAAGCACAATTATCACTGATACGTGACTTGTAGTTTGATCACCCTCACTGACTGTTTTTTGACAACAAATTTCGAGCTTAGGATTGGGGAAATTTATTTTGAAAAAAAAAATAATTTCCTGTCCTTATTAAATAAATTTTTTTAATCATGTTCGGTTGTCATGGAGTTCACATGTATGGAATGAAAGATTATGTTATATTGACAATAGAATGTTATTATGACAACGCTTTATTTTGCCGGGTTAAATTATGTCCATACTATCACATTATCCCAGAAATCTTGACATCTACTGAGTCAGTTTAAAGGCCGATGTGCAGTATGAAACAGACTTGAAGTTAGATAAATGAAAAAATATATTGCCTTGATAATATATAAATTTACATTTAGTAAATGTTTTACATATTAATGTAAAATAAATAGATAGTTCTCGATTTTTACAATATTTATCTCCTTTGCCAAAAGTGGGAGCCATTTTGGGGGTCAATACATATGATATGATTAACAAAATATAAAAAAAATCAGTAAAAAACAGATAATTTAGGTGAAATCTCAAAATCATTTATACTTTTTGAAAGAAATTATTATTATATATCACTAATATGTGAAGGATTTTTTATTCGTTTTCACAGTTTTCACAATGTTATGAGAGATTTTTATCTTATCTTTCGCTTATGATATTCATGTACTTTCTAGGGAATGACCCCCAAAACGGCGACCAGGGGAGGTAATAACTGTTATGTGAAAAGCATCTATAGTATATGTTATTAATAACTTAATTTATTTAATGCTTGATGCTGTTGAAATGTGAAACTGTTTTACTGACTTGATCAGAGCAATTGTGTTAAATAGCCAAGCTATCGGCCCCTTTGGCTAAGTGGTTCAGGTTGTTCACTATCCCACTACTGTAGGTACAAAACCCACTGGTACTTTGGATTTCTTCATGTGAGGAAGCTATCCAGCTCAGGTTTTCAGAGGGTTGGTTAGGTTTCTACTTTGGTGCTGTCTAATGTATACATGAAATAATGCATGAAAGGGTATCAGAACTTGCGTCTACCTTCCACACACTGGTAAAGTTGGAAAGTCACCAGATGTCTTCATAATTCATAAACAGGTGCCAGTGAACATTATAGCCTGTACACTAGTTACATGTCCATATTGAGTAGAAGACCTCTATTGATTTTTAGGTCACAAGGTCAAAGGTCAAGGTCACTGAAAACATTTAAAACTGAATACAGTTTCAGCTCAATAACTAAAGTATTGGGACTTTGTCATGATCTTCAATGATCTCAATATAACGGTGAAACAGGTATTTAAATCTTCTCGGAAAATAAACATTGAACTCTGAATTCACGACTGCAATATTTGTATAAACTTGTTCCATTTTCTTGGAGAAAGGTTTCTACAGGATAAGGTTACTGGAGTAAAATGTATCTTGTTTCATGTCAATGTCGGATACTGTTCAGTTTTGAGTATCATGTTATCTCATTGTTAAGACTGAGATATTATGTTTTCTCCGAGATTCATGAAGATAATTGGTGTCATAAAGTTAATATCCCTTGAAATGATATGAAAATATTATTTTTTTATATATTGTTTTAAAAAGTTGAATGATTTTAATAGAGATATGGAAAATAATTTATGATGTGTAATAGACAAATATGAAAATGTGTCCCACATATTAAAACATGTCTTGAAATATGAAATTTGTGATAGTTTTAATTGTAATATGTTAAATAAAAAAGATTACTGAGGCTCTGTTAATATGCTATATAAGAATAAGGCAGGGTAGACGATAAAAAAAAATCATACTTGGGCAAAACAACCCTTGGGACAAGACCTTCAAGTACATCAGACTCACCTTGACCTTCAATCATAAATGACCTTGACCTTTAAGGTCAAATGTCTGAATTTTGGTTTATTTTTGCTACTTAAGTAGCTAAAAATTAATGATAATTAATAATTAAAGGTGGAAAACAGAATCAATATGAATAGTGGGTATTAACTAAAAAAGACTTGAACATAGCAAACTGCATTTATAGTGTCTTAATGTAAGTGTCATTATACTTTATCGTGATACAACCAAGATATGAGCCGTGTCACAACAAAACCAACATAATGGGTTTGCGACCAGCATGGATCCAGACCAGCCTGTGCATCCACGCAGTCTGATCAGGATCCATGCTGTTCGCTTACAAACCCTATTACAAGTAGAGAAGCTGATAGCGAACAGCATGGATCCTGGTCAGACTGCGCGAATGCGCAGGCTGGTCTGGATCCATGCTGGTCGCAAACCCATTACGTTGGTTTTGTCGTGACACGGCTCAATTATTATTACAATATCATGATACATTTTCAGCATCAATATACCCAACTCTATAAGTCATGCTGTCTTACCAGATAACAGAACCTATCCTTTTGTTCTCATTGCTTTAGTTACTAAGTTTGATATATATTGTTCTTTGAATTTTTACAATCAATAAAGGTTTTGTCCATATATCATAGCAGACAAGTCCATTTTATAATAAAAGTGTTATCAGACTTATTATTGAATGATATAGGTCTTTTTAGCAGTATTAAGGTAATATTATTTTAGGAACATACTTATTAGGACAATAACTAACTAACTGAATGAATAGAAAATTATAGATACGTGCATGAGCCTGAGTTGCAGTCAGAATGACTTATTTTAGTTGCATCAATTGTCAATAAATTTAGATGGTATATCTACTTTAGCGACTAGTAACTAATTTAAATGCATAGTTATGACCCATGATTTAAAGATGTTTTGTTGAACTTAATGAAGAAACCTGATTAATACAGGTATGTGACTATAACAAGTGGTAAACATTTAAATTGTTAGTGCTGACGTAATGCATGAAAAGAAGTTGTTCATACTTTAGATTATATTCAGGCATGTGAAAGATCTTAGAGTGAGAGAATCAGGTAAGTTGAGTTTGCCCCTGACAGGAGTGATACATAGATAGCTAGCCCTATTGACAGTTAATGATACACTTTTTCTGGTGTTTTTCTTCAGGTGATGACAACGAAATTCCCGCACATGTGATAAATGATTGGGCCGTCAGTCGGACATTCCAGATACTGTACCGTAGTGAAGATATTGCCATTAATGATGTGATATTATACAGGTTCCATACACTGGTCAACAGTGCTCATGTAAGTAATCATTATTAAATAATGTATTATGTGGGTTTGACTCATTCTCCAGGCCGTAAAGAGTACTTTTGCTTTGGATGTTCAAATTAGGAAAAGATCCCACTCTGCACCGTCAGTCAGATTTTAAAATCTCTGTTAAATGCCCTACACTTAGAATTGAAAATATCTTCGACTATTTTGCTCCACTTTGACCTGGAAGCACTTGCCTCTCACCACTGTAGGTTCAAGCTTTGCAAGTGTCATGTGAGAAAGCTATCCAGCTAGTTTACGGAATTTCAGTGATTCTACTCAGGTGGGTGTTTATGCCTGAAATAATGTACAGTGGGACACCTGAGATCTTCCTCCACCAGTAAAGCTAGAAAGTCACTATATGACCTATACTATGTTGGTGCAACGTAAAACCAAACCAAAAGAAAAAAAAAACAAAAAAAAATCAGCAGATACACATATTTGGTAAAAGCTCAGCTTATTTCTCTATCTAAATATCACCCTTTTCTTTCCAGGGGTAGTTCTGGTTATAATTTACTTGGGCATAAGTTCACATATTTTCTGCCTTATCTAGCTTGCCCACTTGTCTTTGTAGTCATGTACAGTACAGCAAATTTACATGTTTGGCTTGCCTTTTAAAAAGCTCAAAAATTATCGGAGAAATTGACTAAAAAATGCAGAAATTTAGTCTTCCCCTCCCCCCACACCCCTGCAGAAATGTTGTTTTCCCCCACCCTCCAAGTGTAATGTAATACTCCTGTTTTAATACAAAACATGAGCTTCCAGTTTCTCTCAGATCTATACATGTTTTATTCTTGCGTTTAAGGAGGTGATAAAATTGAACGTCTATTAATTTAACCCATGCAAAAGTAATATTACTTTTAATTACTTCAAACTATTGAACACAGTAAAATTTTTACTGTTTTGTTTCCTATAAAATGAAGTGTGACCTTGTGAAATGTTGATTTATTGATGTAAAAGAGAATAAAGGATTGGGATTTTGTGCACAGAATGCACGTATTTCAGATATGATTGGAAGCGTATTGCAGAAATGAATAATGATATTGAACTCATAAACATATGGTCGTAAATTCTTAATTAATGTTTAATCTATATTTCATTACTCAATTCCTATTGCATGCAATATTGTTAGGATTTTGTTGGTTTTTAGCTCGGCTATTCGCAGAATAATCAAGCTAATGCAGTCACCCATTTGTCGGCGTCAGCGTCCCTGTGGTTAAGTTTTTGCATGTAAGCTGGTATCTCCATAACTACCAAAGTGAATGTATTAATACTTCACACACTTGTTCTCTGTAATTATGTTACATGATTAGCACAAGTCCAATAACTCTGGGGTTTTTATGCATAATTATGCCCCTTTTTTTGACTAAATCTTGGTTAAGTTTTTGCATGTAAGCTAGTATCTACATAACTACTGAAGGGAATGGATTGAAACTTCACACACTCGTTCTCTGTAATTATGTTACATGATTGGCATAAGTCCCATAACTCTGATTTGCTTTTTTGCATAATTATGCCCCTTTTTAGCTCGACTATTCGAAGAATATGAGAGCTATTGTAGTCGCCCTGGCGTCGGCGTCAGCATCCGCGTCAGCGTCTGCGTTGGTTAAAGTTTTTTGTAAATTCAAATATCTCAATTATTGCTTGAGATATTCAATTGAAACTTACAATACTTATTTATAGTAACAAGGTACATCAGATTGACAAGTTGGATAACTCTGCCTACAATATTGACAGAATTATGCCCCTTTTTAACTTAGAAATTTTGGTTAAAGTTTTTTGTAAAGTCAAATATCTCAATTATTGCTTGAGATATTCAATTGAAACTTATAATACTTATTTATAGTAACAAGGTACATTAGATTGACAAGTTGGATAACTCTGCCTACAATATTGACAGAATTATGCCCCTTTTTAACTTAGAAATTTTGGTTAAAGTTTTTTGTAAAGTCAAATAATTTCTCAATTATTGCTAGAGATATTCAAATGAAACTTACAATACTTATTTATAGTAACAAGGTACATCAGATTGACAAGTTGGATAACTCTGCCTACAATAATGACAGAATTATGCCCCTTTGGAACTTAGAAATTTTGGTTAAAGTTTTTTTGTAAAGTCAAATATCTCAATTATTGCTTGAGATATTCACTTGAAATTTAAAATACTTTTTTAGCTCGACTATTCGATAAGAATAAGTAGAGCTATTGCAGTCACCCGAGGGTCGGCGTCGGCGTAACCACTTATGTTAAAGTTTTTGTAATAGTTCAAATATTTTCAAAGTCCATTGACATATGGCTTTGAAACTTTGCACACTTGTTCACCATCATGACCCCAACCTGTAGACAGGAGGAGGTAACTCTATCAAGCATTTTGACAGAATTATGCCCCTTTTTCGACTAAGAATTTACGTTAAAGTTTTTGTAATAGTTCAAATATTTTCAAAGTCCATTGACATATGGCTTTGAAACTTTGCACACTTGTTCAACATCATGACCCCAACCTGTAAACAGGAGGAGGTAACTCTATCAAGCATTTTGACAGAATTATGCCCCTTTTTCGACTTAGAATTTACGTTAAAGTTTTTGTAATAGTTCAAATATTTTCAAAGTCCATTGACATATGGCTTTGAAACTTTGCACACTTGTTCACCATCATGACCCCAACCTAGAAACAGGTGGAGGTAACTCTATCAAGCATTTTGACAGAATTATGCCCCTTTTTCGACTTAGAATTTACGTTAAAGTTTTTGTAATAGTTCAAATATTTTCAAAGTCCATTGACATATGGCTTTGAAACTTTGCACACTTGTTCACCATCATGACCCCAACCTGTAAACAGGAGGAGGTAACTCTATCAAGCATTTTGACAGAATTATGCCCCTTTTTCGACTTAGAATTTACGTTAAAGTTTTTGTAATAGTTCAAATATTTTCAAAGTCCATTGACATATGGCTTTGAAACTTTGCACACTTGTTCACCATCATGACCCCAACCTGTAAACAGGAGGAGGTAACTCTATCAAGCATTTTTTTTACTATCAAGCACTAAGAATAGTCGAGCGTTGCTGTCCTACCGACAGCTCTTGTTTATAGTAACAATTTTACTTATCTCTATAACTATTAAAGATATTTATTTAAAACTTCACATTTAGGGTCATTATTGTAGGTCACTGACAAAGCTTGCATTTAGGCTGATTTTTCTCCCCTTTTTCAACTTAGAAATTCATTGTAAAGTTTTGTTTGTAAGCTGTTATCTCAATAACTACTGAAGGGTTTGTGCCTTTTTTGGGACAATTTTATGCATTCATAATAATAAAGCAGTGATTTACTTGATAAAACATCTTAATAACAAGCCTTTGTACCTTTTCTGTCAAATTTATGTATTCATAGGTAATTAGTATTATTATACTCAATAAAACACCCTTGTGACATTACCTTCCGAATAGTCAAGCCAATACTGTATAATTAGACTCTATAACATGAATTTATAAAAAAAAAATAGCCCTTTTGTGAACTTAAAAAATTTAACATTATTAAGGCTCTTTTACTATCAAGCACTTAGAATAGTCAAGCGTGCTGTCCTACCGAAGCTCTTGTTAGACTTAGAAATTCTTGGTAAAGTTTTTGTGTGTTAGCTGGTATCTCCATAACTCCTAAAGGGTGTGTGCCTTTTTTGTGTGACAATTTTATGCATACATGATAATCAAGCAGTGATTTACTCGATAAAACATCTTTTGTATCTTTTTGGGACAATTTTATGTATTCATATAGGTAAACATTATTATACTCTATGAAACGCCCTTGTGACAACTGACTTTCGAATTGTCGAGCGTCACTATCCTGCGACAGCTCTTGTTCAGTAATGCACTGATTTTGTGATATGTTTAATGTGTTTCATACGTTGATCAAGCACAAATTCAAAATTCACTTAGTTTGAAATTTATTACAGCCTTTTCATTGAGTACTATATTTGTTATAAACCATGTTTTAGTGCTTTAAAAGCCCACTATCCCTCAGATATTTTTTTTTCTCAAAAGCTTTTGATTTTTGGTATACTTTTATAGTTTCCAAAATGTTACTCACTACACCATTTCTTTTTTCTGCTGCTTTTTGGCAGCTTGTACAGTTTCAGTGATTAAGCATTTTGAATGGAAGTTAAAAGACAAGTTTGTTTACATTTTGCTACTTTAATGACACATTATTTTTACATTTATCACTACTTTCTTCAATTAACTTGCTCTAAAATCATTATTTAAACATTAAACAATTCATGTTTGTCCATTCTAAAGGAGTAAAACTTTATTAGTTTTAGTGCCTTTAATTTTGAAACACTTGTTTAACTCTTTTATAACCTTGTTAGATATCTTAAATAAATTTGCTCATCTTTCAATCTAGAAGAAAACCATTCATCATTTTAAAGAAAATTACAAAATATGTACTGACCGTTGAGGGAACAGTGCAGACCATGATCAGACAGCACAAGGCATAGATGTGACAGAAGTCAGTTAAAACATATTAAAAGCATTACAAATAATAAATATAAAGTTGGTTTCACATTTAAGTTCAAATTATATTTTACTCTGAATACTAACTATTATATTTTCATGTGTGGCCACACCATTTGTGAAAATATTGCATCTGGTACTTATTCAGTGAAATATATTTAAGTATCTCACTGCAACAAAACAAATCAACTTAAAATAATGTATTTTAATTATTACAGTTAGAAGATGAAATATCCAAGTTAGAGATACAGCTGATGGTGGAACTGTGGTTCTCAGAGGAACAAAATGGGTAGGTCTATATTCACCATTCAGTATTTGCCAATACAGCACTGTAATTTGAGACACATGTATGCATGGTAATTTTCCTGGGCTTTGGATTACTCATTTGTGGCTGATTTACACTTAATAATCTCAAAACAAAACTTTGCTGTGAGTTTGAGGTAGTTGACCTCAAATCACTTGCTCCTCACCACTGTGAGTACAAATCCCACAAGGAACTTTGGATTCCTTCATGTGGGGAAAGTACCCAGCCAGGTTACAGGATGTCTGTGGTTCCACTCAGCTGCCTGTGGCTGAAATAATGCACTTAGGAGCACCAGAGGTCTTCCTCCACCAATGAAGCTGGAAAATTGCCATATGACTTATTCTTGTTGCTGCAACCTAAAATGCAATAACAACCTTAGAAACCTTTTGTCAAGGGGCTGTTGTAATGGTGGTTCTCAATGATTTCAAAGAATTTTATAAAAATGTGTTTTTTTTACCTTTGTTAATCAATTTCAGGATCATATTTAATAATTTTGTTTCATGCAATGGTCTCCTCTTGTATTTTGATTACATTTGTACCAAATAGATTTGGCAAGTTGTATATGTTAGTTTATTTATTTTAGGACAGGAGCGGTGCTTGCAAAGGCTGAATGTGCCAGTCAGAGGCAGTTAAACCTTCATATCAACCCAACTAAAGGTTTACACCATCATGTACCACTACTGTTTGATTACTTCCATTTATGTTGTGTAGAACTGACTGTACATGGTACACTTATTGCCATACATCAACCTTTTCTTAGGTTTGTATCTTCTTAGTTACCTAGGGAGCCCCTCCCATCTCAACTGTCCCATTGCTTGTACATTGCCACAAGGGGCAACCGTGGCCGAGTGGTTAAGGTCGTTGACTTCAATCCACTTGCCCTCATCGCTGGGGGTCCGAATCCCGACAGGGACTTCGGATTCCTTCATGTCAGGAAGCTATCCAGCTAGCTTTTGGAACGCCCGTGGTTCTACTCAGGTGCCTGTTTGTGCCTGAAATAAAGCATGGAAGGGCATCTGAGGTCTTCCTCCACCAGTAAAGCTGGAAAGTAGCCATATGACCTATACTGTGTTGGTGTGACATAAAACGCAATTAAACAAACAAACATCGCCACAAAAAGTTAACTATGAAGGTAGTAAGATGTGTAACTGATCTAATGGTATATTATGAGTGAACAGGTGAAAGTCAAAATAAGTTGACATTTTCCATAATTCCTTTCAATTTTATAATTTACATGGCATGAACTTACTCACATGGCCAAAGGAAATTTCTATAATAAATATCCACCAGAATTTATCTGTAAGATTCAATTTATAAAAAGAGTAGCGCAGTCTTTTATATCTAATGCAAATTTATATTTTTACCCTTTTTATCGTTAACATTTTCCAGTATCAAATGTTGGTCAATTACCAGTATTACATTCAATCTTTTGAAATATATATTCAATTAAGCTCAACTTGACAATGAGAAAAAGAGCATAATGTCACTATCTAGACTGTTGATAATTTTATCTTGTACAAGTAGAGTTATGGCCCTTGAACTAGGCAAAGTTACATATTAGGCTTTAACATATTGTCAGATGAACCATATTTCCATAGAGCTTTCAATGTCCTGACAGTCATATAAAAATTAAAAACAATTCAAATGTTCAATGAGTGAATTTTTCAAATGTTTCAATGATGGTCTATGAATTGATTAAAATTTGAAACAATGAAAAACCTATGCCATTTTAGTTATAATTTCATGTGCAAAATAAAATAGTTTCTGTTTCCATGTATCACTATTTTTGTATTTTTCAGTGTACCTAAGCAGCCGAAAACAGCTTGGTCAAGCAGAAATCCAGAGTTATCTACCATAGAGACTGTGTATTTTGGTGACAGACAAATCTCTAGTGTAAGTCTTGAATAAATGAATATATGAGCCACTTCATGACAAAACCAACATAATGCATTTGCGACCTGAGCATGGATCCAGACCAGCCTGCACATCTGCGCAGTCTGATCAGGATCCTTGCTGTTCGCTTACAAACCCTATAACAAGTAGAGAAACTGATAGCAAACGCACTACTTTGTAATGTGTAAATTACTTCCTTTTGGGTGTCTTCACATTATTTTACCTCAATACAGTTTCAAAATTTTCATGAAAATAAGAATGAGACTGAAGGTGTCCTGCTTTAAAAGCATCTAAATTGTTTCATTGACAAGTACAATTCAAAGCAGAACTGTCAAATTGTAAAAAGAAAAAAAAACAACAAAAAAAAACACAAAACAATTTGTTTCTTAATTTACACTACACATGAGTACCAAAGTTTAAGTCATTTATTTATGGGAATAACATGTTGGTCAATTTTCATGTTTCAAATCCTTCATCTTTATGTTATTCTTAAAAAAATATGCTTAAATGGCATTGGAACGTGTATAGTGAACACTTCACAGTTCATATTTTCATTTGATTCTTTGATTTATGTTAATCATATATATGTAATGTATATCATCACCTTAGTGCAATAACTGATTAACTGCTATTAAATTTAGAAGGACTTATTACATTATTGCACTAAGGTGACAATATAGGATGTAACAGTGTTCAAAGTGGTGTGGTAACAGTCCTATGTCCACACTCGGTAAAGAATAATTTTCAACAGAACTTTTTGTGTATACATGAACATGCTTCAGACTTGTATTCATGAGGAGATGTGACAGTTTAGCACTAGTTGATGAATGAATATATACATGATTTATTTCAGGACCCAGAGAAATGTTTGCCCATCAATTTACATGCAGCTTGGCAGATGCACCATAGAATATGTAACTTACTGTTATCAGCATATGAAAGTCTCCAAAGTACCTTTGAGTATTACCTCAGTGATATTTGCGGATCTCACTCCAAACTTGGTATGACCTACTTATATTACTAGAACTGAAGAGAAGAGACCGGGTAAAAACAATTCAAACTTCATTGCAACTAAGTTACTTGAAACATTGCAAAACAGCTGTGTCAAACAAATATACAAGGACAGTTGACCTCTGACATGAAGTGTTATGGTCATTTGTCGCTCACCGCTGATTAAGAAATTATGTTGGATTAGTAGTCCGTCACTTGCATTGAAATTGGTAATTACTGGTTAAGCTGGTGGACCGAATGCAGAGATATGACCAAAAGTGTGTTTGAATTGAAAAAAAAATAAATAAAAAACAGGACAGGAAACAAACAAATCTTACAATTAAAGTTTCACCTGAAATTATCTTATTAATGTTTGTTGAACGAGATTACTATTTGTTTTCTAGTTAATTTTAATTTTGATAGCAAGTATCCTAAGTAGCAAGTTTCATAAATGTAAAGTGACATGCTCATTTTTTTCATTGTCAAGTTGTACAGAATTGACTATATATTTTTAAAAGATCGACTTATAATGACGATAGACCAACAGGTAATAATGGAAAAAGTTTAACACAAAATATATATCTGCCTAAGATATTCAAAGACTGCCCCACTAGCTATAAATTGAACATTTCAGGTAAATTTCGAAGCATATTTACAGAATTTCCTTTGGAAATGTGTCATTTATCGTTGATGCTAAGTAAATTGTAAATTGAAAAAAGGTATTATGGCAAAATGTAGTTATTTTGACTTTTTATATACCACTAGATAGGGATAGTGTCACTTTAATCATACTTTATATTTTGTTTCCTATCAACAGAACATATAGACTGTCACCAGAAACTACAGAAGATTATGGACAGTATAAGACTGATAGATAATGAGGAAGATCTGATACAAAATGGAACAAGGGACATAACTCAGTTGTGTGCTGCTAATGTGATACTATGGACCCAGTTTTTAGAGACTGTTACACTTGATCAGGGCATTATTTTCCATCTAGCCAAAGAGCATCACAGTATACGGGTATACAATTGTTTTGTATTTCAATGTGTTTGTTTGTTTATAATACCGCACATTTCATTTGTAACGTTGCTTTTGATTGGATAATAGTGACGTTTATATAGTTTCATAAACATGGCTGCTATCAATTTATGAAGAAATTACATCTTTGCTTTTAAAAAAAGAAGTTTGCTATATTTTGTTATAAAGATTTTTCACATGTTATATGACCGTATGTAAATATTTGTTTGAAATAAAACCCTCGTCACTATTCAAAAAAACGTTTATATAGGGCCATATAACTTGTCAAAAATCCTTATAACTAATAATATATACTCGAGCCTCTAGGCAAATGTAATTATGCAAATAATTGTTTATATACGGCCATATAATCTGTAAAGAATGTTTATAACAAATTTTTACAACAGGGAATTTGCTTATGACTGAATGATTGTTTTTGTTCATCACAATTTATTTGTTAAGCAAATGATATTGATTGTTTTTGTTCATCACAATTTATTTGTTAAGTACACCAGTGAAGTCATATGTATGTAGAGTGAATAGTTTTGTTTCTAGATATGTTATACTGACAGGGCATATCAGTAACTAGGGAATATTGCACAAATGCCTTATTCTAATGTGTTGTATCGCAAAAAAATTGATTGCGAAATAAATTGTATTCTCACAAGCTGGCAATGCGAGTGTGATAACAACTTTAGGCAATCAATGAGAGTGCTACTGTCAGGCAGAATGATGGCAACCATGTAATTTTCCCTTTGTGTAAAATGCATGATATTAAGCGTATCTTTAAAAAAAACAAAAGCAATTATTTTTCTGCTGAATAAGCATATGAATGTATAACATCAATATACATTTGTGATGTAATTAATAGAGCAGTACGGAACATTGATCTGGGTATATGTTTTTGCTCAGTTGAAAATGATTATATTTTCATCAGAAAACCTATATATATATATGATAACAGAATGTATTGTTTATGTTTGTAGGTGAAGAGACTAGCTGAAGGATTCTTTATGCATGAATATCCAAAGAATGAATGTTTATCGTGTTATGAACCTAGGTAAGAAGACTTTGTAAATTGTATATCCTTAGCCCTAAAACCTGCTGTATTTGTTAAATGGATTTGCCTTGCTGTGAATTTGGACCAGTCCATTTGAAGTTTTAAGGATTTCAATATCAAAATTGAAAATATTCAGCTTTGAACAGTATAGAGCCTGGATAGAGTCAGACTGCTTGGATACGCAGGCTTGTGGCAAAGGCTTTTCATTGGGGTTCCAGTAGGACAAATTTTACTTGGTCTTGTAATTTCAAAGTGGGCCAGAGACAAAGTGTGCATCCATGTAAGGAAGCTATCCAGATAGTTTACAGGAATTTTTTGTGGTTATTCTAGTGCCTGAAATAATACACAAAGGTGGCACCTGAGGTCTACCTCCACTAATAAAGCTAAAATGTCACCATGTTTGCTTTACATTTTTAATGTGACCTAAAACAATAGTAATTGAAAGATACTTTCAATATAACCAAATATACTATCAATATAACCAAATATACTATCAATATAACCAAAGATACTATCAATATAACAAAAGATACTATCAATATAACCAAATATACTATCAATATTACCAAATATACTATCAATATAACCAAATATATTATCAATATAACCAAATATACTATCAATATATCAAAAGATACTATCAATATAACCAAATATACTATCAATATAACCAAAGATACTATTATCAATATAACCAGTTAATAAACCAAAACCTAGTGACTGGTTTAGTAGCAGAAATATATATACCATGATAATGTTTCAGTTACCATGGACACAGTGATTTAGCTGCAATGGTACGTAGTTCGATGTATCTACAGATGCTACCACCACTTGACCTGGAATGTTTGGAACTGGATGGTGATCTATTATCTAAAAATTTGGTTGGTTGTTGATACCTTTAGGTTTAATATGAAATTAACTCATTACATGTTTTATGTTCTTGACCTTTACAATTTTATGTAATTTTGAACGCTGTTGTTACAGACAGTGATATTGAATGCAACCCATTACAGCCAGATTAAAGGTTCGAAGTTATAAAGATTTTCTAAGCGGCAAACCACAGAACTCGGGGTTAATTATATCAGAAACGAGACAGAAAATTTGCTAGACCAATGAAAAAAATGTGAGATTAATGGGGGATCAGGAAAATAGGGTTTTTTATACCTCAAATAAATTATTCCACATGTTTTGGTCGGATCCACTTCTACCTGAAATGTGGCAAATTCTTACATGATTAGGTATCAAGTTTTACTTTTTCACCAACTGTTCTCTTAAAACGAATTAGCACTACTTTATAGTGATTGCTAGGTTGAAAAACATTATGAGCAAATCAGGGATTCGACTCAATTGGAGTAGACTGCGATGGATCTACACCAGGTTCGAATCCTGATTCAGTGCAAGTTCATATTTTAAGAGTCACTATCATGATTGAACGCCTATAAATAGAACTTTACTACCAGAAGTAGCCTATTTTCGTGAACATAAGAAATATCTAAATAGACATATCTACCTAAGTGGTAAATGCTTATAATATTAATGAGGCTGATACAGTTACTATAATAGGTTTAAATATAAAATCCATAATTGCTTAAGAATTTGTAGCAGATATTCAAATATCAATCACAAAAAATTTATGATATGATCCATGCACACTGTAACATGTGAATCCGAACACTGAGGTTTAAGAACACAGACAGGAGTATATCCAACTTTTTTGTACTCGAATTGTTTAAGCGAACAGCCGGAGTCTTGCCTGCAAACAGCTGGAATCTGCCAGTACTCAGCCTGCGCATCCGCGCACTATGTTGGTTTTGTCATGAATGCGGCTCACATGTGCTGATCATTTATTATCTTAAAGGAGACCCCATTAAGGTTTTTTGACATGATGGAACTAAAAAAATATTTGAGGTTAGTGTTTTATTTCATGTAGGTCTAGACAAATAACATGTATGCAAACTTCCTGATCAATCTCACACTCTGTTTTTCCAGAGTAATTATTGTAATTGTGAAAAACAACACTCCATTTGGGCTAAGGATAGCACAAAAATATGATTTTCAATTATTTCTGAGTATATTTCTTAATTATCTCTTGCATAACTTCTTTGCCTAAGTTGGTCTAAGCTAAGAATTTCAATTTTTTTATTTTTAAGTCTTTTGGTCCTCAGTAAAGTTCCTTAAAATTGATTTTATTTTATTTTATCCTTTAAAATAGATTCATCTATTTTCACTCATTTTAAGTAAATCTGATACTGTCTGAGGATAACTTTACATTACCATTCTGTTTTCGTTTAACTTGACAGACGTTTTTACTGATTAAACAACTTTTTTAATTTTTCAAACATGATTAATTGATTTGTAGGTATGAGAAATTGCATTATATTTAACAAGAAACATTTTTTTTTAATGTTTTAAATTTACTTAAATTTATTCCAGAAAATAAAAGGGCTTTGCTGGTAGTGACTAAAATATTTTGTTGAAATTTAGTTGTAACAACCTTTTGCAAAAACATGAAAGTATATACATTAAAACAAAATCGTTAAAGGCCCATCAAGTGTTGTTCAAAGTTATAGTTTATATTTGTCTTCCATAAAGCTGATTAATACTGTGTCAACATTTACAGCATTACTTTTTTTGTAGTCTGAATAAGGACGAAGTTTGTTTATATATTATATATTATTGAATGTTGCCTACTTAACTATTGTATAAATCAACATAATACATGTTTTTCCACTTGAATGATTTTTTGCTGAGTTATAAGCCTTCAATAAAAAAGGTGGGTTTTTTTGTGTTGCCAGCTACACAGAAGGTTTGTCTGAACTACTCTTCAGAAACAACTGTTGCAATGTCATCAAAACTTTAGGGGAATGATCAATACCATGTCTAGTTGTGCGTCTCATCAACATTTTTCGATTCAGTGAATTTTGTCAGAGTTATGGCCCTTCAATTATTTAAATTTTTAAAAAATTTCCGGACTCTTCTTCTTACACCACTAATGCATTTCAGTGAAACGTAATACGATTGGTCCGTAGCTCAAGTAATTGTCATTATATCCCATTGATAAATTTCATTTACATACATATATATATATGTAAGAGATATATAAATATATCTTGGCCATAAAATGACTTTATGGTAATCATCATTATTAAACACTAGGTCATGATTAAAATTCAATGTGTTGTTGTTTACCAAACATAATAAATGTCATCATATCAAATAATATTAATTTGTATTAACAGTGCATATCATAGGACTTGTGTTTTTTGTTGAATAAATGTTTATTGAATCGGCATTAAGCCCACACAAGTTTAACATGTGTTTTTTGTTGAAAAAGATCTTTATTAAATTGGCATTAAGCCCACCTAAGTTTAACATGTGTTTTTTGGTTGAAAAAATCTTTATTAAATTGGCGTTAATCAGCCCACCAAAGTTTAGTGGTTGAAATTAATTTTTGTCCAAAGTCCAATAGGATTGCAGTATTTGAAATGAATCGCAACAAATTTACATTGTGTACATTGTTAAGTAAGCCTTTACCAATCTGTCTCATAAATTTAGCAAATCTTGAGAAATTATTTCAAGCACTTAATTGTTTAAAGATCATTAATAAGCCTTTTCAAAATTAAATTAGGTTGACGAGCTGTGTTCTTAATGGATGTATAACCAATGAACTAGATTACATTGTACATGTCGTCACCTTGGCGCAAAAAGTAATGTAACTGACATTTTTGAAATTTTACAGGAGACACAAAAAACTGATTTGTTCATTTTGAGCAAACCCTTTTAATTCCAGACAATACTGTTAAAATATCATTAATAAGTATAATTAAATTGGTTTTAAACATTACAATTATTCATTTATGTATAAAAAGTAATTAAACATTCTTCTACACTTACAAGACTTTTTGCACTGTGATTATAAACGCAAAAAAGTGATGTAATAAGCACTAACTTTAATTTTAAGTATCGAAGTTACTGCATTGCATAGACATTTAATGATGTTTATTATAAACATTTATTAATTGTAAAGTTTGTTTAAAATGGGTCACTGTGGATTAAGAACCACATTTAACATTAAATATATGAATGGAAGTTTAAAACTGAATATTTTAAAATTAATTTTAAACATTAACAGTAAATCCAAAGCAGTGTATTTTTTTTTAATTTCAAAGTAAATGTAAGCATTAATCACAACAAAATTACATGAAAACTGCAGACTCACTTGATTTAAGTCTGTACAATTTTCAACACTTAAAATGGCTGGAATCAATGATTACAGAGGACCAGAAAAAACATAACAACACTGCAGTGACAACTTATTAATCATGTTTTTTACTGTTGTCATTTTCTAATGGTACAGTTTATTTATGTATTTGTTATAAAAAGGGGTATTTGGAGATCTATATAATATTATCATAATATCTATGTCTCAATAATATCCAACCATCACAGGGACGTAGACTTTGAGATTTAGGATAAAACCACTATGAATCCTGAACTTTTCTGAACATTTTGGTTGGATGAAGTCGAGATTTTTGATGAACCTGCTAAGAATTGTCCAACATATCCTAGTGAGATTCTTTTATATTATATCTCATGAACAGACTTTAATTTTTATAAATAATTTTGTTTTCATTGCTTCTTCTTTTCAAAATTTTGATATATTGAATTTAAATTGTCTTATTTCCTGCCACCAAACTTTAAACATTATACGCCATATCACTATCATGGTTTAATAGCTTTGAATTTATGTAAAAATTCAGATTAATTTCTGTGACATAATGTGGTTTGGGTCTTTGACAATTGAGATTTTCTGTTAATTAAAGTGTTTAACATGCACGACATAGAGAATGAACTGAGTCATTCTAATTTTTGATAATAGACCCCATTCTATATGTATGAATGTATGGGAGTTGTAGATGCACCACATTAGACTTAACATACTAGCAATTATGGTTTTGACCAATATATTATTGAAACAGATTACATGTCTTTGTCTGCCATGTTTTTATAGAAATTAAAATAGAAAAGATACACCAATGTAAGCAACTGTTTCTTTCCAGGGCTATAAACAGTGAAATTGCAGTTACATTTTTATAATACAGTTGTCCTTATATAATGCAATAAGAATGTAAATCTTTTAAGCAACTTTTATCTTTATTTTTATAATAAATAATTGAATAAACAATTGAAAAAAAAAATTACTTAGAGCTTTCATCAATAGAAATGATATTGATGTGTATCGTTGATAATTTTTTGTTGATCAGTACACATTTTAGAAAATCAATAATTTTGATTTAATTATTGAATGTCTAGAAATTATGAAAATTCAACCAAAACATAATTATGCATAAGCATATTTCATGACAGTGATGACAAAAAATTGTTAGCAAAAATCATGCAAAATGGGCATTTGTTTGAAACAGGACACATTTATGAAAAGACCATGTTTTTACTGAAAGCATGAAAAGAATTAAGAGACAAGTAGTACGTAATTATCAATATATCTGTGTATCATCAAAATTTTTTCATCTTATTTCATCTTTTTCCACCGAATCAATGACAGCTCTTATATTACTTGAATCATTTAGAAATATCAACAAAATTTGAATACTGAAATATTCCTAGCTATATTGTTTGTTGTTAAATTAAAATAAAACATTTTCTTTAAATGTTAGTTTCCTAAATTAGATTTATATATATAAAAATTGTATTTTAGAAATAATTTTGCTATTTAATAATGCAGTAGTGAAATATTTTAATGCAGTAACAATACTTTTTGCATCAAATTATTTTCAACTTATCTGTATAAACATTGGCGCAAAAACTCATGTAAGTGTACTTACTGTAGTTTTTGCACCAACAAATTCTGAAGCTGCACTTACATTTTTTATTT